AACAAACAAAACAAAAAGATACAGACGATACAGCCGCGCTGCTGCTGTGGCTGCGGTTCTGCAGCAGCAGCAGAGAACAAACGATCAACTTATTCTTTTCTGTGTCTGCCTCTTTTCAACTAAATTGCTTCATTAATATCAGCATTTAGAGTCTGCTGCTGCAGCCTCAGCAGCAGCAGCAAGCTAAACAAGAAGCTGCTCTCCCCAGGTGGCGGCAGCGGTGCAGCAGCAGCAGCAGCAGCAACAGCAGCAGCAGCAGCAGCAGCAGCAGCAGCAGCAGCAGCAACTGCTGTTCCAGTGAGGGAGGCCCCGGGGGCCCCGAGACGTTCGGAAGCAGCAAGCAACAGAGGAGACAGGAGGAGACAATCGGTGTGTGTGTTGTTTACATTTTCTGCTGCTGCTGCTGCTGCTGCTGTTGTTGTTATTGCTGCTGCAGCTGAGGCGGCAGCAGCAGCTGCTGCTGCTTCTGGCTGCTCTATGCCTCTGCTGCCTGTCCCTCTCCTGTCTCTGTTGTTTTCATTGATTGAGTTTCTGTAGCTTGCTGCTGCACACCTCGCTGCTGTCTTTGCTGCTGCTGCTGCTTCTTTTGGCTTTGCTGCTGTTGCTGCTGCTGCTGTCTTTGCTGCTGCTGCTGCTGCTGCTGCTGTCTCTGCTGCTGTTGCTGCTGCTCCGTGTCCCCATTTCTCTCGCTAGCAACGCCGGCAGACCTTCAAGCTCCGCTGCAGCTGCAGCAGCAGCAGCGGCAGCAGCAGCAGCAGCAGCAGCAGCAGCAATAAGAAGAAGCTTACGTCTCTCTCTGTCTTCTGTCTCCTTGACTGTGTTCGTGTGTGTATTGTCTCCTCGTCTGTCTCCGTTGTGGGTATCTCTTTCTGCTTGCTGCTGAGCNGCTGCTGCTGCAGCGCCGTCTCTCTTGGGTGTCTGTACAGTGCGGATACAGCAGAAGGAGAAGAAAGTAAAGAAACACAAACAACGCACTGAGAGCAGCAAACACGCAGCAAGTGCTGCAGCACTGCAGCAGCAGCAACAGCAGCAGCAGCAGCAGCGCGGGGCTTGCCTGTTGTCTGCTTATCTCTCTATTCGTCTCTGTCTCCTTCTCTGTCTCCTTTGCCTTTCTCTGTTTCACTGTCTCCGTGTCTGTCTCTTCTCTATACACCTGGCTCGCGTTGCTGCTGTTGCTGCTGCAGCAGCAGCGGGGCACCCCAGCAGCAGCAGCAACTGCTGCTGCTGCCGTCACAGCAGCGCCTGCTGCAGCAGGCCATAGAAAGGAGACAGATACTTCTTAGGGGTCTGGATGCAAAGCAATCAGTGCTGTTGTAGTGTAGCTCAGCAGCAGCAGCAGCAGCAGCAGCAGGAGCAGCAGCAGCAGCAGCAGCAGCAAGGGGAAGAACTGCAGCTGCTTCCTCTGGGGCTGATAGGTAACGACGTGCTGCTGTGCAGCAGCAACTGCAGCAGTTGCTGCTGCAGCTACAGCACAACCAGTAGCGGCCGTTCTATAAGAAAGCTCTTCAGAAGGACTCATTGCAGCAGCAGCNCAGCTACAGCACAACCAGTAGCGGCCGTTCTATAAGAAAGCTCTTCAGAAGGACTCATTGCAGCAGCAGCGGGTGCTGCAGTTGCTGCTGCTGCTGCTGCTGCTGCTGCTGCTGCAGGC